TAGATCAGTTATAGTTTGCTATAGGAGGATTATAATAAAAAAAGTATATATCGGAGCCGAGTTGCACAAATTCGAAATGTACGTCCCGAAATTCACTCCATGTGGGATGATATTAGCCATTATTTGCACAATAAATCTGAAATCGGATTAAGGATATATGTGGGAGATATATCCAAATCTTTGCAGTTCTCGATAAAATTTGGCAAAGGTATTTCCGAGCTTTATAAGATATCTGGTACCGAATATCATTGTTGTCGAATACATATTACAGATGTGAGGTACTTAAACACCAAATCGGATGAAACATATATATGGGAGCTATAGCTGTATCTCAATCGATTTTCTCCGATTTTCTCCGAAATTAATGTATGTGTATCGGTTGAGGATATACATAGGAGCTATATCTAAATCTGTTCCGATTATCACATATTTCAATAGGGTTCGTCTTTGGGCCAAACAAACATTGTTTGCAAAATTTCATTTCAATCGGATAATAATTGCGTCCTGCATTTTGTTCACAAGAATACATGGACGGACGGAGGCACTGGCATGCAAAAATCGACTCAAAAAGTGATTCTATGAAGATCCTCAAAAGTAACTATGGGTCTATCTCGCTTCTTTCTTATCCTTGTTACAAATAATACCCTTACCACTATGTGGTGTAGGGTAGCATTAAGTCGGCCCCGCCCGATTTTAAGCCTTTGTTTAATGGTTTGCTTTTTGCCAACCCTGGTTTAAAAAGCTGACGTTTTTACCAACTGTTAAAGATTTTAAATAAAGTCTTTAGTTTAACCATAAATCGGCTTACAAACGAACAACGCTATATAATTATCAAAATGCGAACTCTGTTAAGAAAATTCAAAATCGAGAAATTTTATTCAGTCTTCAAAAATAGAGCAGAATATGTAACACAAAACATAACTCTGTACATATGGAATGATGTTTATTTGATCTGTGTTTATTTTTTCCAACATTTTCTTTTTACACTTCTAATTATATTTTTGACCGCAATTTGCGGTATATTTTGTTTCGTGTCCGCTATCTATAGCCCGTCAACAAATAATCAGAATCATTATATGTAGTTTTCTCCATTGAAACCACGTTCCAGAGTGGGGAAAAATCTGCCAGCACACACATGCACATATCCAATGTGTCATAATGATGGTGTTGTAATGATGATTAGTGTCGATCTTCATGATTGTCATTTCGCCGTGGCGCCAATATCATTAGCTTAGGTAAGCTATATATGTTATTGGAAATAACAATTCTCGTTGCGTAGATATTTACTCTGTTCCACTACCTAGTTTTGAAGAATTTTTCGATATTGTAATGGCAAAATCGGTTACGTTTACATTCTTGCACTTCTGGAACAGACCTATTACAAACGTTTCGAGCATAATCAGAATCGCATAGGACGGCGATATATTCGGATTAATCGATAAATTATATCGTTTCTTTAGAAAATTGGAAAATGTTTTATGAATATGTCAAAGTTCACTGAGAAACAAAAATATTTGTCTTCATCCTGTTAGACCCTATTGTTAATAAACAATCCTTGTAGCCATATGTATTTTTTTGGTTATGTTCAAATCTGAGCTTTGAGCATAATGGTAAGGGTACTGTCTTTGTGCATTTTTTTGTAACATGGCGAAGGAGACAAGATAGACCCACAGTTACTTTTGAGGATATTCATAGAATCACTTTTTTAGTCGATTTATGCATTTTAGTCATGTATTCTTGTGAACAAAATGCAGGTCGCATTTATTATCCGATTAAGATGAAATTTTGTAAACAATATTTATTTGGCAAGGACGAACCCTATTGAAATTGGTGATAATCCGATCAGATTTAGATATAGCTCTCATATATCTTCAACCGATTTATGTTAATTGTGGCACATCCGACCGAGTCTAGAAGCAAGTATATCAAATGAAATGAAAACCGGTTTAGATATACCTAGAGCTCCCATATTTATGTTCCATCCGATTTGGTCTTTAAGTCCCTCACATTCGTTATATGCATTCGACCAAAAATGATGTTTGGTACCAGACATCTTATAGAGCTCGAAAATACCTTTGCCAAACTTTTTTTGATCGGCTAAGATTTTGGTATAGCTACCATTCTTATATTCTTAATCCGATTTCAGGTTTATTGTGCAAAAAATGGCTAATATCAGCCCAAATGGAGTGAATTTGGGGACGCATGTTTTCATTTGGTGGAACTCATCTGCGATATATATTTTTATACCCTCCACCATAGAATGGAGGGTATATTAAGTTTATCATTCCGTTTGTTACACCTCGAAATATACATTTTAGACCCCACAAAGTATATCCATTCTTGATCAGCATAAAATTCTATGTCGATTTAGCAATGTCCGTCCGTCTATGGAAATCGCTCTAGCTTCCGAACGAATTGAAGTAGATTGATAAAATTTTACTCAAATGTATATTATGTCTGCAGGACGTTTGGTATTGAAAATGGGCCACGTAGATCCACGTCTTCGTATAGCACCCATATAATTGTACCTCCCGATATTCGGTATTTTGATGTTTTTAGCGACATTATTCACCGGAATTGTTTCAAATTTAGTATTTGATGTTTGTAATGAATGCTACAGCCTATGACAGGAGATTGTCTGTGCAGGTCCACGTCTTCATATAGCCCCCATACCCCCCGGTACCTCCCGATATTCTGTATTTTGTTGATTTTAGCGACATTATTCACCGGAATTCTTTCAAAATTGGTATTTGATGTTTGTAATGGATGCTACAGCCTATGACAGGAGATTGTCTGTGCAGGTCCCAGTCTTCTTATAGCCCCCATACAAAGGTACCTCCCGATATTCGGCATTTTGATGATTTTAGCGACATTATTAACCGGAATTGTTTCAAATTTGATATTTTAAGTTCACAGCCTCCACATCATCGTTTAGACCCTAATATGACGGCTACATTTGGTATTTTTAAGATTTTAACAGAAATGTTAACCGATTTTATTTTTTTGCCAAAAATTGCCAAATTCGTTCCAAAGGGTGGAGGGCATTCAAAGTTCGACCCGGCCGAACTTACAGCTTTTTTACTTGTTCAAATTTCAGTTTTACCCCGATCTACATTTTTCTTTTGATGGGGAAATCATTACTTGTTATACCCTACACCACAAGGTGGTCAGGGTATTATGTCTTTGTGAATTTGTTTGTAACAGGCAAAAGGAAACGAGATAGATCCATAGTTCCTTTTGATGATCTGCATAGAATCACATTCTGTGTCGATTTATGCATCCATCTGCCCATGTATTTTTGTAAACGAAGTACAGGTCGCATTTATTGCCCGATTAAGATGCAATTTTGCACAAATCATTTGTTTGGCCCACGGACGAACCCTATTAAAATTGGAGATAATCGGTAAAAATTTAGATATAGCTCCCATATATATCTTCGTCCGATTTGCACCAATTGTGTAATACCTCCCAGAATAGTATGGAATTTTGCACTTACAACCAAATTAGTCCTGCTAAGTATGCCAAATTTTATCGAAATCGGTTCAGATATAGCTATAGCTCCCATATATATTGTTCATCCGATTTGTTTTTTTTTTTTGTCCTCTGCAGCGTAATATGCACTCTGTAACAACAATATTTAGGGAAATATATCAAATACAGCTCAGAAATACATTTGATAAATTTTATCGAGATCGGTTCAGATTTGGATATATCTCCCATATATAACTTCGTCCGATTTACATTTTATTGTCCACCAAACGTCTAATATTTGGCCAAATGGAATGAAATTTGGCGCTTACGACCGAATTGAGTCTAGAAGCTAGTATGTCAAATTTGGTGAAGATCGGTTCAGATATAGCTATAGCTCCCATATATACTGTTCATCCGATTTGTTATATTTGTTACCCACCGCCGTAATATGGATTCCGTAGTAATGCTATTCAGGGAAATATATCAAATACAGCTCAGAAATATCTTTGCCAAATTTTACCGAGATCGGTTCCGATTTGGATATAGCTCCCATATATATCTTTATCCGATTTCAAATTAATTGTGCACCAAATGGGCAATACAAGTCCGAATTTAAAAGATACAAATGCTTCGGCATATTTAGGCCTTTGAACTTTAAATTATAATTACAAACACAGCGTGTATGATAAAATTCTCTCATAAAAACTTTTAATTGTTATGCGGTGCTCTACTAAATTAGCAAAGTGGTATAGGGTATCATAAAGTAGGCCCCGCCCGACTTTAAGACTTTCTTTACTGGTTTGGTTGATAAATCCTTCTTCATATATGGGTATTTCCGTTTTTTTAACTCAGGATTTAATTCAAGGTCATTAAGTGTTTTAAATTAAAAGAAAAAAAAAACTATACATATTTTTGCATTTAAGAGCAGAAGTTTAAAAATACAGAAATACAGCAAACTCAGCACTATTTCCTCAGCAGTTGTACGCTATTGTTTTATTTTATTTTTATTTTTGTCGTAGTAAATCGTGTTTTTAACAGAATTTACTCAAGACCGCTTGACCAGTTGACCATTTCAATGTAACACACATTGTTGTTGTTTGTTATTTCCAGCATTCTTTTGGCACTGCAAAATTCACACGTTTCATAACATTTTTTTCTTCCGAAATTAAAATATTGCATTGAAATTATTTTTCATTTTTTTCTTTTACACAGACCGTCATCCGCAAGCGGGTGTCATGCACAAGTTTTCGAATTTGTTACCCAAAATTAATTTTGACTCTTGGGGTTTTTTTAATCACAAATTTTTGCAAACAAAAATTTAAATTTTCAAAATTGATTTCCAAACATTTTTTCTCCGAATGATGAATAAACAGACAAACACACACAATATTCCTCTCACGAATCACGATGATTAAAATAGGGTAATTCGAAAATAAAATCCATCTTAACCGGAGATCTTTTTCGTTTTTGCACAGCACACAAAATTTCGTTTGATAAAACTGGATTTTTGCTTGACCATCATGCTTTACCTTTTTATTTTATTTATTTTTTTCTTCGTCAACTTCTTCTTCGGCCACTTTTGTTTGTTGTTTGTTTTGCTTTTATTGTTCTTGGACGGGGAAAACACACACACAACGACAGCCACAAAAAATCTACTCTACAAGCGGTGTTGTAACGCACACCCGTAACGGACGAATCGTTGTTTTCTCTCGCGATCACCGCTAAAACGTCTTAACGCCTCGTAATGTTCTCAACGAATGTTTGGTCTGGGCCGAATGTATCTTCAAGATACCTGTTGACTGTTAAATCTTGGCTTAGTGGTGTATTACTGAGTCGTCTCTCTCTGGCCCAAACAGTTTTATTTATACAAAAACGTTATCTGACTCTCTTTCTGCGGGGCAGTGCTGCCATATGGACATATTTCCAAGTGATTAGAGGAGGCAATTGGAGAGAAATGTTGTAAGAAATATGTAACTGATATAGAAAAGAAAATAATTACCCAGACTCAGTGAGGAGATTATTACAAGTTCGTTTTGTGCAAATATTTTTATAACCTCCATTCCACTTATTCGAAATCGAAATAGTCATTTAATAAGACCTTATTAAGTTTACATATTTTTTATTAACGTAAATTTTAAGACGATTTGTACTAGTTCGTATGTCTGGTAGTCTTTGGTAATTACATGAAATTATCACAGAAAATCCGGTAGACTATGAAAGTATGTCTAAATATTGAAGATTAGTATATCGGCATTTTGAATGTTTACATCGCAAGAACATAACCTAAATGGAGGAGGCAAGACCCCATCTTAATTTGTTTTTTTTTTTTTTAATTTTCGGATAAATATTTCGTTTTCGGCAATATTGCAGATAAAAATACGAGGAATATTTTGGTCAACCCTCAAGAGAATCACGAAATTGGTATTTTTGTTTCTTTTTATAGCCTCCACAATACAATTTGTCACGAAGGTTTATATTATTTGCAGGCTAATTGGTATTGAAAAAGGGCTAAATTGGCTCATGTTCAAGTATAGCCAGATTTTTCGTATTTAGCAGTATTCTGCCACGATTTCCAAACAAATCAGCTTAAATTTGACGTTTGGGGTTCTTGAAAGGTGAATGATGTTTTATTCAAGTATAGTATAGTATATATAAAGTATATTCTAATTGGTATAGTCCCCATATAACTGTACCTCCCGATTTTCGGTATTTTGGAGGTCCACCAGGTTTCGATATTGGGGTTATTATATCCTACAACCCTAAATATCCGTTGTTGACCCCGTAAAGTATATATATTCATAATAAGCATGAAATTCTAAGTCCATTTAACGATGTCCGTCTGTCTGTCCGCCTGTCTATTCAAATCACCATACAGCCCATATTATATGACGTAGGGCTTTAGAATTTGGCAAAACAATGTGTGGTTGGTATTGAAAATGAGATATGTCGGTCAACATTTTGTTATAGTCCCCATATAACGGTGCCTCCCGATATTCGGTATTTTGATGATCTTTGCCACATTTTTGTTTCGAATATGTCTAAAAATTGGTTCTAGATCCGGTGACAGAACATTGAATATTTATTTCCACGTTTACCTATAGAGTGCATATAACGATACCCACTGATATTCGGTATTTCGATAATCCTAGTCATATTTAGCCACGAAATTGTTTAAAATTTGGTATTTTAGCAGATTTGGTAGATGACAATCCAAAATTGTCTATAGAGGCTCCCGTTTTGGTAGCGGCCTAAGCCACTGTATGTTTTTTTTTAATGTTACAGCCTTATCCAAATAGTCTTACTGGTATTTGTAGTTTAAAGTGGATTTATGCATGTCAATCTGTCTGTCTGTCCGCCCGTCTGCCAGTCCATGTGTTTTTGTGAACAAAATGCAGTTCGCGTTTATTATCCGATTGAGATACAATTTTCCAAACAAGGACGAACCCTATTGAATCTGGTGAGAATCGGTTCAAGTTTAGGCATACCTTCCATATATCTTCAACCGATTTCGGGTTAATTTTGCACCAAATGGCTGATATCAAATATCTAGAATTTTGGCACATCCGGCCGAATTCAGTCTAAAAGCAAGTACATCAACTTTGGAAAAAATCGGTTTAGATAGTGCTATAGCTCACATAATTTGTTTCATCCGATTTGGTGTTTCAGTCCGTCACATTCGTAATATGTATTCGACAACAATGATATTTGGTACCAGATATCTTATAGAGCTCGGAAATACCATTGCCTAATTTTATCGAGGTCGGCTAAGATGTTTCATCCGATGTGGTGTTTAAGTCTGGACAAAAATGCCTCTCTGCGAGATCGGTTCAGATTAGGATATATCTCCCATATATGTAACTTTATCCGATATCAGGTTTATTGTGCACCAAATGGCTAATCTCAGCCCAAGTGGACTGAATTTTGGCAATTACGACTGAATTCATCCTAGAAACCAGTACTTTAAATTTGGTGAAAATCGGTTCAGATATAGCTATAGCTTCCATATAAATGTTTTATCAGAATCGGGGGTTTAAAGTCCCTCCCAAGCGTAATATGCACCACACAAAAATTATGTTTGGTATCAGATGCAGCCCAGAAATACCTCTGCCAAATTTTTCCGTCAATTTTAGTGAAAATCAATTCAGAATTGGATATGCCTCCCATATATTAGTTCCCTCTGAAACCAAACTATAACTGCTCCAAAGCCAAATATTGATAGGGTGTATGATCTACTTCATATAAATTCTCTTGTTACGGGAGCTCTACTAAATATGCATAGTGGATTTTTTTAATGTGACACTTTTTGTGTAAATGAAGAATATATTATGTCCAAGGACTAAGGATTAATGATTTTTTTTTTTTTTTTTTTTTTTAAAAATTAACTCTTTAACAACATTCCCACGACATTGATTTTTGACGACAATATTTAGCACGAATTCAAAATACACCTCTATTTTCAATATTCTTTAAACAATTTTCGGCTGAATATAACTTCTAAACTAATTTTAAATGTTTTATAAAGACGTTTCCTGTTCACACTAAGCTATTTTTTAATCCACCCATAACTTTCAAGTTAAAGTGGCATACCCAGTGCTTCATTTATGTCAATGTAAGCCGTTACAATCATTTTTGAAACAAATAAAGCTATATACGAAATCATGCTCTCACTAAGTATGTTTGTTTGCCGACCGCGCTGCTATATTTCGAGTGTCAATAAAGACAATTTTTAAACTTCTTAATAGACTACTTAATTAATAAATAATCGGGAACAAGGATATAGAATACAACCAGTGAAGAAAGTCCTAAAGTCGGGCGGGCCGACTTTATGATACCCTACACCACTTTGCTAATTTAGTAGAGCTCCATATAACAATTAAAAGATTTTTATGGGAGAATTTATTCATACACGCTATGATTATAATTATAATTTAAAGTTCAAAGGATTAAATAGGCAGAAGCATTTGTATCTTTTAAATTCGGACTTGTATTGCCCATTTGGTGCAAAATTAGTTTGAAATCAGATAAAGATATATAGATATGGAAGCTATATCCAAATCTGAACCGATCTCGATAAAATTTGGCAAATATATTTCTGAGCTGTATTTGATATATTTCCCTGAATATCGTTGTTACGGAGTGCATATTACGGTTGTGGGTAACAAATATAACAAATCGGATTAACAATATATATGGGAGCTATAACTATATCTGAACCGATCTTCACCAAATTTGGCATACTAGCTTCTAGACTCAATTAGGTCGCATGTGGCGAAATCCATCTCATTTGGGCAAATATTAGACGTTTGGTGCACAATAAAAGATACATCGGACGAATTTATATATGGGAGCTATATCCAAATCTGAACCGATCTCGATAAAATTTAGCAAAAGTATTTCTGAGCTGCATTTGATATATTTCCCCAAAAATTGTTGTTTCAGTGTGCATATTACGGCTGCGGAGGACAAAAATAACAATATATATGGGAGCTATAGCTATATCTGAACCGATTTCAATCAAATTTGGCATACTTATTTTCAGGCCTAATTTGGTTGTATGTGCAAATGTCCATACTATTCGGGCTGATATTACACTTTTGGTGATGGAGATATATATGGGAGCTATATCTAAATTTTTACCGAATATTTCTAATTTCAATAGGGTTCGTCCTTGGGCCAATCAAATGTAGTTTGGAAAATTTCATCTCAATCGGATAATAAATGCGACCTGCATTTTGTTCACAGGAATACACAAACGGGCGGACGGACCGACGGACTGACATACATAAATCAACTCAGAAAGTGATTCAATGGAGATCCTCAAAAGTAACTATGGGCCTATCTCGCTTCCTTCTCCATGTTACAAACAAATGCACAAAGACATAATACCCTTACCACTATGTGGTGTAGGGTATAAATATGCATCAACATCATCTAAGATTTCTCAAAACTCGTTATGGAATAATTCTGAGTTTTTTTTTTTTTTTTTTTTTTTTTGATTCACCGAGCTGTTGAGTTTTTCTTTGATATTACCTTATTTTCCTGTTACTTCAATATCAGAAAGGAAAAATTCAAAATATTTCAATTATTTAACGGCAAATAATATAGAAATATATGTTTTATTTGTTTTAAATATGTTTTATTTTAAATATACAAACATTTGTACATACATACACATTCTTACATGTAAGAATAAAGTCCACACTTCAAGTCATTTGAAGGCATTGCATCAGTTTTACGTGCTTTTCTGCTGCAACAGCATTTTACTACGAATTTGTTAAGCTGGTGGACTAGTCGGATAAAATGGCAATTTTGTGTTTTGGGTGAGATTGTTATAGGGAATGGTGCGTGGCTTTAAATGAAATACAGCATTCAATTGATATATTCAAAAGTTAGATGTACCTTTGCCACTTTACCATCCAGTAGAAATGTGAGTCTCAAGAAATTTACAAACTTCTGAAGCGAAAGATGTTCATTTATTCACGTTTACAACGATAAATTAGCGGTTGGGCATAAATGAACAATGTTGACATGGTTTGGTTTATAAAGAACATAACTATTAGGTAGTTGGATAAATTATCACACAACTTTTTAAGAAACAAAGATATATTTATGAAACCCTTTAATGACCACGTTTTGATAGAGCCAGGTAAATTTGTATATGGTAGAAACAATAAAATAATATACTGGCATTGTAATGATGCTTCTAAATTGGATATGTGCTTGACATCCTATCTTGATTTGGGGGCCAGATATGAACACTAAAGTAAATATGACTATCCAATTAATGCAATTTACCGATTGTAGCAAACCTAAATGTCTGAAACCTGAATCAAGAGATATTATTATTAAAATATATGTTTATATATCTCCTTAAAATTATATGAATTTGAGCATCAACATTTTAACGCGTAACCCAAGGAGGGTTAAATATACCATAAGAACATCAAAATATCGTTGTCTTGTCAGTAAAAAAAATCTTAAAATAAAGGACGAAAATGAAGTAGATACAAAAAAGAGCATAGAAAACCAAAAAGAAAGTCGGCCGGGCCGATTTTTTTGATAACCTTCACCATTGTGAATATATATAGGAGAGCTACATATAACAAATAAATGTTTTTATAGGGAATTCATGAGATTTAAAACATACCAACTATGATCGTGAAATCAGGTATAATTCCGTATTCTACTAAAGTTGACGGAGACATTTGTGTCTGAACCGATATTCATTAAAATCCATCCTATTATGTGAAATCGGATGAAGGTATATGTCAGAGCTATATCCAAATCCGAACTGATCTCTATAAAATTTAGCAGAGATATTTCTATGATGTATCTGATAATTGATACCAAATATCGTTGTTGTGCATAGTGTTGAAATACAAAATCGGATGATACATATATATGGAACCTAGAGCCAAAACTTAACCGAGTTTCACTAAATTTGATACATTCTCTTCCAGGCAAAATTCCAGGCCATCCAGGCTTATATAATAAAATTGAAATCGAATAAAAATATATGTGAGCTATCCAAATCTGAACAGATGTCTTCAAGATTTGGCAAAGGTATTTCTGAGCTGTATTTGATATATTTCTCTGAATATCGTTGTTACGAAGTGCATATTACGGCTGTGGAGGAGAAATTTAACAAATCGGATGAAGAATATATATGGGAGCTATAGCTATATCTGAACCGATTTCCACCAAATTGGACACACTAGTCCTAGACTCAATTTGCTTATATGTGCCAAATTTCTTCCTATTTGGGCTAACGTTAAATATTTGGTGCACAATAGAGGCAAATCGGTCGAAGATATATATGGGAGCTATATCTAAATTTTGACCGATTAGGAACTATGGGTCTAACTCGATTCGATCTCGCCAAAATTTTCAACACTTATTTCTGAGCTGTATCTGTTATCTAGTACGAACGATTATTTTTGTGGAGTGCATATTACGCATATGAAGGACTTTAACGCCAAATCGGATTAAACATATAGAGGAACTATAGCTATATCTGAACCGATTTTCACCAAATTCACTCGGGATTGCCAAAATGTTGTTCATTTGGTATGATATTAGCCATTTGATGGACAATAAACCTGTTATCAGATAAAGATATATGTTGGAGCTGTATCCTAATCTGATCTGATCTCGATAAAATTTGACAGAGATATTTCCGAGATGCATAAGTTATCTAGTTCCAAATATCATTCTTATGCCGTGCATATTACGCTTGTGAGGTACTTAAAACCCCAAATCGGATGAAACATATATATGGGAGTTATAGCTATATCTGAACTGATTTTCTCCGAATTCGATGTACTTGCTTCTAGACTTAATTCGGTCGGATGTGCCAACATTCAGGTCATTTGGACTGATTTGATGCACAATTAACCCGAAATCGACTGAGGATATATATCGCAGCTATATCCAAATCTGTTATATATGAACCGATTTACACCAAATTTGAAGTACTGGTTTATGGGATGATTTCAGTTGTAATTTCCAAAATTCAGTCCATTAGGGCTGATATTAGCCATTTGGTTAACAATAAATCTGATATCGAAAAAAAAAAATATATGGGAGCTCTATCCTAATCTGAACCGACCTCCATAAAATTTTGACAGAGGTATTTTCGAGCAGAGTCTGATGATCTCCGGTACTAAATATAATTCATCTGGAGCACATATTACGCATGTGAGGGACTTAGAACCCAAATCGGATAAAACATATATATGGGAGCTATAGCAATTTCTAAACCGATTTTCTCCAAATTTGATTTACTTGCTTCTAGACTGGTGGGATGTACCAAAATACAGGTCCTTTGGACTTATATGAGCCATTTGGTGCACAATTATCCCGAAATCGGTTGAAAATATGTGGGAGCTATATCTAAATCTGATCCCATTATCAGCAATTTCAATTTAAAAGGGTTCGGTCTTGGGCCAAACAAATATTGTTTGCAAAATTACATCCCAATCGTAAAATAAATGCGACCTGCATTTTGTTCACAAAAATACATGGACAGACGGACTGTATAAATCGAATCAGAATGTGATTCTAGGAAGATGCTCTAAAGTAACTGTGGGTCTATCTCGCTTCCTTCTCCATGTTACAAACAAATGCACAAATACATAATATCCTTACCACTATGTGGTTTGGGGTATAAAAATGACTACGGAATTCATACGAAATCTATAATTTCGATAAAGGACTTTTTGAACGAATTATAGTAGATTTTTTGCTTCTTTGGCCATGAGGTAGAAGTTACGAAAAACAAATTACTTTGAAAAGCGCCATCTAGATAATTTAACAAACATTCATATGTATCACATTGTTAGTTCAATTCTATGCACAAACCATTTAAATGAGTTGTAACCATTGTGAATGGTTTTGTACGGTCGTTGCCATTATGACATTATAAAGTGAAGCATAATTTTAGGCGTAAAGCTAAAATGTGTATTAAAGGCCTTTATAACGGCCATACACATCCTTCGAACATGGTTGATTGAATATGATTGAGTGAAAACGAAGTATGAGTTGGAAATTACAGTGGGCAACACAAAAAATTATTTCAGGAAAAACTTTTTAGAGTAAAAATAGAAAAGTTTCCTCTCTTCGATATGTTTTGAAGGTTCCAGAGATTACTCGGAGTTCTAGCATTTTACAATACGATACTGATAACAATGCGAGGATGTGCCTTTATACTTGTTTTTGTAATATTGCCGAAGGAACAATATACCTTAAATTTAATGATTTTACGTAATCTTAATATGAAAACGTCTCAACATGTGGTGGAGGGGGAAACTTACCCCATCCCCCATATTTTCGATACTTTTCAGTGAACTTTCGAAACGCCAATACAAGTGTCTTCCAATTTTTTCTCTACCTATCTATTGAGCTTTTCTTGTTATTATTTCCTGCATTGCACAGCGTAATATAAGTTTGTTTTAGCCGTTCCCTATAAAACTTATGAAAAATTTGAAACAAATTTGTATTTTTATTTTTTTTATTGTATCGTACTAATTATAAAAAAATATATTAAATAAAAATAAATTAAAAAAATAAAAAAAAAAATTATAAAAATATATTTAGAAATTTTAATCTTAAATGTGTAAAAATTTTATGGAAATATAACACAGCAGAATAGTTGGCAGCAAATTTTAAAAACAATTTTTTAAAACTCATTACCAACTAAACTGCGGCATAAAATAAAAACTAAATTAATATTTGGTTTATTATTGAAGACTACAACTAAAAATATTTAAAGGAAAAAATATCGAAAAATTCCCCTTTTTCCCCTATCCCTACATTGCATCGTGGACCTGGAACTGTATCAGATCCTCAACGGGAAAACGAAATAGGGAAGCAGTTTTAGCCTCTGACACCATTTGTTCCATGCTATTGTGGTTGGAGTTGGCTTGGGCGCCATTGTTGTCACTTGGCCCATTGATGGGAATGTTGGTGACATTTGAATTGTTATTGTGATCATAATATGAGATTGCCTGGAACGATGATGATGATGACTCCGTTGACTGGCCACCAATTAAGGCAGCTGGAGTGGGCAATTCTGAGATGTCATTTGCCGCCACAATGGGATGTTCAAAATCCACTAGATCACGTTGAGCATCATTGTTCGCGGCTGTGTCACTACGTGCTATGGATGTTTGGGAGCTAATGTTCAATGCCTTGGGCTGGTGACGTGGCTCAATGGCGTGATTTAATCCATCACCTTCACCCTCTTCATGGATTGTGGAACGATGTAAATTATTATTACCGCCACTGTTGTAAAATGGATTAGTAGATGTTTGAGGGAGAGGGGATGATAGGGGCGTCTTCTTTTTGGGAAATACATTGAGGTGTAACATTATGGGACTGCTAAGGGAATTGGAGGATGTCGAACCGGATGGTTGCAATGCAGGATCACAGTCAATGGGTAGGAATGGAGTTTGATGACCTTGGGCGCCATTTTGTAAGTTAGCATAGATATGCTGTTGTGATGACTGCTGGTGTTGTTGTTGCTGCTGTTTTTGTTGTTGTAAATATTTTTGCCACTGATCATTGTAGGCAAACTGCATGTTATTGCTTTGGGCCCCTTGCACCGCTCCCGGGAAACGTATGTGATTATTGTAGGGCTTTTGCGCTCCATAGGGATTGTAGAAACCCAGGGACGAAACAGTTGGTGTCATGGGAGTGGAATAGTATTCCAAAAAGGGATTTCGCATCATGGTAGGTGGCCTCATTGATGAGACTATACGTGCCTCATCCATGGCCAAGCTGGATACAGCCTTGGGATTCCTGGAGGGTGGCAGAATGGGGAATATATCCAGATTCAATTTAAAGGGTAATCTCTTTGTCAGCGTGACAGGGGCTTGGGTCACGTTTATTGCCATCAGGGGTGGAAACATGGTGGGATAAAGCATGTCCGGAGCTCCAGTGGCATACGGATAGTGTTGCATAAATATATTTGAGCTGGCGAGGAGATTTTTCTTATCCTTATCCTTTGGCTTCTTGCCTTTCTTTGATTTCTTGTTGTTTTTCATTTGTTGAGCCTTGAGTTGTTGGTGTTGTTGCTGCTGTTGTTGTTGTATAGCCAATAGATTAATGTCACTGGGTGATCGCGGCTTAAAGGGATAAATCTGTTCCAGAGCTATGCGTGACTGATATGGAGCTTGAGGCAAAAATCCCATCATCTGTGGCTGATAGCCATTGAACATTGGCATGGGTTGGGGGAAGGGAATTTGTTTCTTGTGACGTTTACCGCGAAAGAAGTTTGCAATGCCACTGGACTTGAGGTTCTTATACGAACCCGAGATGTGCAAACCCGAAGGCATCATCATCAGTGAGGGCATTTTGGTGCTGGCCAACCCTCCCAAAGTCAACTTTTGTAGAATATCCTGGATGTTATTGACCTCGTCAAATGGAGCCACACTTGCCCGTTCGCTCTGCTGATGTTTCTTAAATTCCTCCGGCAAGGATCCATCATAGGGGAAATGGAAAGGTATGGGTTGGCTATTGGCTGAGTCATCGCGAGTAGGTGGATTCGGCTGTGCGGTGTCAGTGAATTGTCGTCGATTTGCCAATGACGGCTGACGGGATGTCAACCTTGGTGGCCGGGGTATTTGATCGTGTAACTCCCGCCTGACAGGTGTCATGGTCGACGAACGTCTAGGTAAACGTTCATAATGATGCGTTCCATAATTGTGATTTTCATGGAAATGCTCCTCCACCTCACCAATTAAAGTTTGCATTGAGGAGGCTGCCGTTGCTGCTGGTGGTGAGCCAGCAGCACTAGACTTGGCTGGAGCTTGAGGTCGTTTCGCTTTCGTGCTCCATGTTCCATAAATGGGCTGTTCATGAACACCAGAGCTGCCACCACCACCGCCACCAGCACCAGCTCCATTAGCATCAATACGCTCCAGTAAATATGCATTTTCACCAGCAGCTATTGCATGTTGAAATTGTTGTTGCAGTTCTTCTTGCACGCTCAAATGTTGTTGTTGTTGTTGTTGCTGCTGCTGATGGTCTTGTTGCAATTGTCTTTTCTCCTCATCTTCATCGTCTTTTTCACGCTGCAATAATTGCTGTAATTTAGCACGCATTTTTCCGTTTGGCTCCTCAAAATCTCGTGATCCTCCTACGATGATGTTCGTTCGTATGATATGATTGGTTACGGTGGTATTGGCTTTATTTGCGCCTCGAGCGTAGTTAGCGGCGCTCAGTGCCGATGTTTGCGGTCTTGTGGTAATGAATTCACTTGTTGTTGCTTGAAAATGTGATAAATCACTTAATTGTGCTTTATTGTTGTTATTATTGTTGTTGCTATTGTTAATTGGAAATACGTTTGGAGTGGTACTGCTGGAGTAAATCGCTATTGCCGATGTCTTAACAATGACCAATGACATCTGAAATGAGAGAGAAAAGAAGAGAAAAATAAGTATATGGGTAAGAATACAGGGTTGCCCATATTCGACGGACCCACTCTTTGGGCCCATTCCAATCGACGAGGCTTGTCCGCAAACAACATTCTGTGCGTCAATTGAATTTTGTACGGGAACAAATGCAAATCAATGCGAATAATCCGTTGTAAGGTGGACCGAGCCATGTCCAACTGCTGAGAACGGCGTTTTTGGGATGTTCTTGGGGACCTCTCAACACTGGCTCGTACGGCAGCGATATTCTCGGCCGATCGCCTTGGTCGATTTTTATATGGCCTCTTCGGATTAGAAAGAGCCTTACCAGTCGAAAATGGTGTTCTTAGAAGGCGCACTTCTCACATTTTTTAATGTTTTAAAAGCACGTTGAGTTTTCACAATTGACTTCTTCTGTTGAATGTAAATTTCAGAGCGCTCGCGTGGCTTGTATTGGTTCATGGTAAAAATCTGCTTGGACTAACGCTTCAAACGCGGTATGTCCTTAAGCGATGTGACATCTCTGTCAAAAGTTATGGCGTTGCCAGATGGGTCCGTCGAATATGGACAACCCTGTATTTTAGAAGGTAGTTGAATGGGTCCTTTGGAGAAATTATGTAGGACAGTAACAATAAACGAACAAAGTTGGAATGTAGGTATGTTTAGGGTCAGAAAAATATAAATGGAACTATTATCATAAAACCTGGTTCTTAGAAAAACGTGATGACGTTTTATTTGGATTTATTTTGAAAATTTGCTCAAATTCGAGTAGAGGGAGAAAACTCGCTCGAACTAGAGGCAAACTCTTTTTGTCGATGTAATTCAAAAAAAAAAATGTGAACGATTATATTCTTAGAGTAAACTCTCATTTTATTTCGAGCATTTTGACACCCACTCTTCTTTTTCAACCAAAAGGAGCTCGCGACCGCCGCCACATACAAGAAAAGAGTGGAGAGTAAACTTCGTATAAAAATCATATTTTTCAAGTACTCTCTCTCTCTCTCTCTTTCCCTGAGCACTGTTGTATATATTGATATATATTTATACAATAATTTGCCTCATATATACAGGGTGAGATGACAACTGTTAAAATTATTCCAGTGACAGCTTATTATATTGTTTACAAGCGTACAAAAGCATTTTTCGTTATGGAATTCAAGTGTGATAGTGTCATTTCTTTATATTTGGCTGGAAAACCACCAGTGGCTATCGTTAGAGCACTCCAGCATTTAAAAGTGAATAAATCTTTTGATAGCGTAGCCCAACGTTAAGGAAGTGGATGGAAGAAAACAGCAACATCAGCAGAATTGGTTCGAAAAGTAAAGAAGCGACTTCCCGCGTCGCAGTGGCCGAAAGATGCCTCGTGAGCTGAACATATCGCAATATTCCATTCGGCAAATATTGAACAATGAGCTCGGGGTAAAGCCATTGAAATTCAAAAAAGTGCAAGAACTTACACTGCAACAGAAAGAAAATAGACTCATAAGAGCTAAAGAGTTGCTTCGCTTGGCCGAAAGTGGTGAACTGCTGAATTTGAATTTTGTTTTCTCCGTCTCCGATGAGAAAACATTCGTTGTCCAGCAGTTTGTAAACAAACAAAATGATCGTGTTTACTTGCCAAAGAGGTCAGCTGAAAATGTGCACCTTCGCTTGGCAACCAGAACTCAAGCACCGGCCATGGTGATGGTGTGGTCCGCCATAAGAGCCAATCGTCGCTCTCCGCTCGTATTTATCGCGAAAATATTCTGGAGGGTGTATTAAAGCCTTGGGCACGCAAACATTTTGGCCGCAGACCTTGAACATTCCAACAGGACTCAGCCACATCGCACGCAGCACGCGCTACCCAAGAATGGTTACAAAATAAGGTTCCTCGCTTCATTTCCAACGCACAAAATCTTCGGATACCAATCCGTTTTACTATTGTGTCTGGCGTATTTTTGAAAGCAAGGTTGGCACTAAAAAATACCGAAGTGTCGATCACCTCAAGCAAGCGCTACGCCGGGAATGGGCCAAAATACCGCAGAGCAACATTCGGGCAGCGTGTGACGGTTCCAATGGCTATGATTCGTGCCAAAGGTGACCAATTCGAACAAGTCCAAACTTATTCTAAAAGTTTATGCTATTTCCGTCATTTTTTGCTTTCATTCAATAAAATTAAAAAAAAATGTAAAAATCATTTCATTTGACTTTTTTGCAGTTTTCTTATCTCACCCTGTAATATGAATATTTCAACAATAGCGGTCCACTCCATTAAGCTACTTCCCCACAAAGGGTCATCATTTTGAATAATAAAGCTCTTATAAAATGTGAAATAAAAGTCCGATTGTCTCCAAATTGCATAGATCACAATATTCTTACTAATCTGAGGTCTGGTGTGAAGACGGAATATATTAGTACACTCCTTCTGGTACCTCTCCCTATCCACCCAAAGGGTCAAAATTTGGAATTACTATGAAGACAATTCAGACTTGCACACATCTCAACATTTCTATCAACAAAAGATGGGACCTTTCCTTCTGGTACCTCCTTCTCAAAGGATCAAACCTTTGAATAACCAAAACAACAATAAAATCTGAAATAAGCATCCGGTTCTCTTCATATTTCACACAATAATATAAAATATTTTTAATAATCTAAGCTCTGTTGTATAAATGGAATAAATCGGTCCATTCCTTATGGTACCTCCACACATAGGGTTAAAATTTTGTGTCCATGAAGCTCATAAAACTCAAAATTAACATCCGATTCAATTCAGACTTGCTACTTCTCTATATTTCCATCAACACAAGATCTGCCATAAAGATGGTAAATATGAAACAATTTCTTCCGGCACATCTGCCGCATAGGGTTCAAGATTTTTAAAATCAAATTGCTCAAAGATAGCGAAATAGACATCCAACCATCTTTAAATTAAACACATAAAAACCTTTTTGCTAACACAATATTTGTTGTGGAAATGATATATGACTTGGTTTGTAGAACATTTTGACTTGATCTCGTTTTAAGCGAGTTTTAAGGGAGACTCCTTTGGAGACTCGCTTAGGGATTAAAGTTTTCAACCAAAATATTCCTCGTATTGTTATCAGTATAACATAAAAAATATCCGTCGGTTTTGCCAACAGATGTATATCCTCAGCCAATGTTCGATTATTTAAATATATTTTGACTTTTGTTATGGTTATTCAAATTGTTGACCTTCTATGAAGTAGGTTTCGAAGAAATGGGGCAATATTATCCATTTGGCCATTATTATAATAATAATTTTATGCGAAATCATAAATTCCATATTCATCTCAGGTTTCTGGTTGAGAGAAATATTTAGATATAGCAAGTTGTAAAGGATCGCTGACTTCTTTCGCTAGTTCTAATAGATAAAAGTATTGAAAATTGTGACCCACAGCATATCTTGTGTAAGCAAAAATGTTTGTATGTGTAATATTTTATTTCGCTTTCTTTGAACACTTTAATTTTCAAAATCTTGGACTCCATGTGGGAGAGGTACCAAAAGAAATGGTCCGATCTCTACCATTTTTGTGTTGATAGAAATATTGAGATGCGCCAAGTCTTAATGGAATCGGATGTTAATTTCGCATTTTATGAGCTTCATGGATATTCGAAAATCTTGACCCTTTGTGGGAGAGATACTAGAAAGAGTGACCGATATATCTCATCTTCACAGCAGATCTTGCATTAGTAGAAATAATGGGATTTGTGAAATATGAACAGAACCCGATGCTTATTTCGTATTCTATAATCGTTTTGGTTATACAAAACTTTGACTCGTTGTGGGGGAGGTACCAGTAGGAATGATCCGATCTCTACCATCTTTATAACAGATTTTGTGTTGATAAAAATATTGAGATGTGTCAAGTCTGAATGGAATCGGATGTTAATTTCGTGTTTTAAGAGATTCATGAAGGATACTGCCAATCTCCGAACTCAATCTAAGTTTGATAATAATATTAAGATCTGGTCGTAACTTGCCTTCTCTATTTAGTACTTCTCGATATACATTTTTAAAATATCAATCCGCGTGTCTTGTATTTTTCATAATATATAGAGTCCTGCAATATTTTTTGTGTATAATTATTTACAAATGTGGGTTAAAGCGATACCCAAAATTGGAAAATTTTATGTTTTTTTGTTTGCTTCAGTGTGTACAGCGTTGCACTTCTGCATTGTCAGTAGGCAATTAGAAATGTAAGTTTTTCCTTTATCTGCCACGTCCTGGACTATGATGACGAAATTGCGTATTTGTATTAAAACAGATTTATTTTTGTACACATATGTTGACATTTTTTTCTTGTACTTTTAATATCCTTTCAAAGTCCTTCTCCATTCACAACTTTTTTTCTTACTTACAATCAAAAGGAACACTTGTAGTGAATTTTTAAAACAACTTAGAATCCGTCGTTTCAACAATGAGAGCTTGCGTTTTTTATACGTTCGACATTTACGGTACGGTATCGAGGAATTATGATTTTTACAATACATTTTTCGTGGCAAATGCAAAGGAATAACCGAATGGGGAAAATATTTGAACGGAGCGTTTGCCGTTTTAAGAATATGGATGTCCAAATTAATTTTTAAATTTTCAAATTTATCACTAGTTTTTTTTCTTTTAGATTTCTTTGCGGGTTTAGCCAAATTTCAATAAAACCACACACGATGTCTGCTTCATTGCGGACTATGCTAGTGACTGCAAGAAATCCGAACGAAATTATTGTATTAAAACCCAAAAGAAATTGTTTCAATACTCGGCAAGAAAAGAAAGTATTTTTTCTTTACACTCAAGTGGTAGCACGATCGTAAAAAAGCAAATGCATGAAAATTGCATCAACACAGATGCATAAGCACGCATACAAAGACCATGGAGCGCATAGGTGTGTGGTTGAAAATGGATGAAAACGTTACAAATATACCGACATTTCCATGATTAATGTATGGCCAATAATTAGCACCGACAATTAATTAAGTAATTGTAGCATTTTTGAAAAAAAAAAAAAAAAAACAAAACAAAATAATTACCAGTGGCATTGACAGCTAGGGAGGTGTC